TGTAAGAGCCCCAATAAAATGATTAAATTAAAAAAAAATTAGCGGTGAGAAAAACTCATTAGCCAAATCAATAGCTGCATACCTATAGCAGGAGAGGTACTAGTTTGCTCAAGAAACCACATCTACAACAGTAGCTACAATTGGAGTCACCACCTGGTTAAACTTATAATAATCTGAAATCATCCTCTAAAACTCCATCTATTTTCTTACACAGGTCAAATTAGTTGAGTGAGATGGGGATTTGGTGGGAATCACCACCCCTATATCCTTCAAGTCCTTGATGGTAGCACCAATCTTTGAAATCCCTGCAGGAATGCAGTATTGTTTTGCCTAGGTACAGGCAATTTTGATGGCTTCCATTGGCTTTTACTACTACAATTTCCCTTACTTTTTCACTTCAAGGATTCACTATGGGTTTTTTGCCTATTCTTAAGTATGGCTATTCCAATGAATTCTGGAAAGGGGTGAATTACCACAGAATGGGTTCAGGGTCCAGTGACTAGGCCCATTGCCAGATAAACCTGAGCTAAGGCTCCATTAATAACTTGACATCCATATGCTCCCACTCTGGTGGGCCTTCAAAATATTTTGGGTCTCCTGCAATTCATGTCAATTCAGAGCCAAGGCCTAGTAATCCTAGATAATTCTGATTATTTCCTTTCCCCCCATGAACAGTCACTTTTGTGAAAGGCCACAAGTACCTCTGAGGAATGGTGAGGGAAAGACTAACACTATCACCCTTTGGTGGTGTAGTGGAGTCCTTTATCAAAGGGACCCAGCTTTCCCTTCATTCAAGGGGCTTTGGGTCAGTAAATTGGCTCAAGTCTGAGAACTGATTGAAGGGTTGTGATGCTCTAGCCTGGCGATCCAAGTCAGACTGCCATTCACCTGCCCTAGAATTCTTCCGCTTGTATAGCTCAAGTAAATATGTACTAGGCTTCCCGTCTGTTTCAGAGACACCTGGTCTAAGTAGCCAACACTGTGGCCCATATGAGTCAGGCTACTCTGATTACTCTTTGGACTCTGCTGTCCATTACAGTAACCGAGTCTATTTTGTCTCTGTTGATCATGTGTTGCCACTTGTCCCCTACCTTTACGGGGCCCAATCAGCCCCACTGCAAGCAAGTGTCTCCATTCAAGGAGGGCAGTCCCCACTCTCAAACCAAGCTGACATAAAATATCCGACATAGGAGTCTTCAGATATGCTGGGGCTCCCTTCACAAACCTGTGCCTTACTGCTTTTCTGTAAAAGGTGTGTCCTGGGGGCACTCCATTTGTGGTTCTAGGGGTCCACTCGTACCATGCCAATTGCCCTTTTGCATACCTTCTTCTATGGTATACCAAGTTAGGCTTGGTACTTCAACTTGATTTAATGTAGGATGTATCACAACCCATGTATCAGCAAACCAAACCAATAAACTATTTAATCTTCCCCTAGCCTCTCAAGTTGAAACACTGAGTGAGGGATCTATGCTTAGTGGGTCCATACCAACAAAGTCAGACTTCTCTGACCTCAAATTCCTTGCAGTGTTATCCCACACTCTTAATAACCACACTCACACACACCCTCAGTGTTCCTGGCTGCTCATGTCAGAAAACTACCAGTTCTTCAGGAATAGAGCACCCCTCTTCCGGAGAAGCCATCGGACGTCACTGCAGGGACTCATGGTGACTTAAGTCTAGTTATAGGTTTAGGAGTAACAAGGGTGGTAAGGGTGATCTTTGGGAACTTGCAGCAGTGTCTTGTAAGGCATCTTCCCCAGGCAATGCTCCAGATACAGCCCTGGGTGCCACACCAAAACGCACCGTTGGGCTCATCTCCTCACGTGTGGGTGGAGGGGATAATAGTTTTATGAACAGAGGATTGATCTCTCTGGAGGAAAGCAGGGGTGCTGGTGACTGGTGCTGTTCAATAGACTCTAAGGGCTCAATGCTTCCACCCTCGGGGTTATCAGTCCACAGAGCCCCCTCTCAAGTTCCAGCATCCCATTTCTTCCCAACCAATGCCCTCACTTTAACATCAGATTCCACTCTGGGTTGAGAATTAAGTTGGTCTTGTAGTTCAGCTACTTGTATGATAAGACTCTGGGTTTTTTGTTACTGCTTTTTTCTCCCAGCAATATCAGCACTGTTACTAGAAAAAGCTATCTTTCACAGCCCAAGTGGGGCTTTGAAGTCTTTTATTTGGCATTTAAACCATGTCGCTGAAACGCTGAGCTCATCTCTTTCTTTTACTAGTTTGTCTGCTGTCTAACCAATCCAGTTCCTTATATTTCCCATCCTGACAAAATTGCAGAAACCTTTCAAACACTCAGAGCCTAACTTCTCACTAGAACTATTTACAGAAGGTGTACTCATGCCATGGATTTACTAAGTGACAGATTTATCCAGTCTTAACCATATTAACAGAGGCAGAGGCTTAGTTCTTGGCCTCATCAGACTTGAGAACCAATTTAGAAGACTCATTTGTACGTGATTGCCAGCCCCTGCTCCCCACCCCCCCACCCCCCAAACTACTTGCGATACCAAATATGTTAGGTTGGGTTCTCTTGAGAAACAAAATGAGGGACCCTTGTCTGTGTTTCTATATAGAAGATTTATCTAAAGAAATGCCTTACACAGCTGTAGAAGTGATTAAACCCCGTCCAGTTTGTCTGATGGTAAGCTGGAGGCCTCTCCTGCTGCTAGGACAGACAAACCAGAAGCAGGAAGACACAGACTGGTGGATGCAGAGCCAAATGAATCCAACATTGGGTGGAGGATTCCGTGATCTGTGGTCCACTCGCTAGCTCCACAGATTGGCAGGCAATATGACAGGAGTCTGACGAACTTGAGGCAGGATCCAGCAGCCAGAGGAGCGAACTTCCTTATAGTGTCAATTTCTATGAAGAATGCAAGCGCTCCTCAACTGCATCAAGGCTGTGATCTGGCTAAGGAGGTGGCACTCGACCTTCCACAACTGCTTGGCTGCTTCACAGAAAATCCCATCACAGCGTTGCCCAGCCGAGCTGAAGTCAAACCTATCCTCACAGCCACCCAGGGGAAGTGTCACCTCCCTGAGAGCATTGTCCCCTCACTAGTTTTACCACTTGTACACGTTCAGACTCAGAAAAACTCCCAATTTGGCTGTTACGTATTAAGAAAATGCCAGTTAACTTTTCCAAAAATATCCACTCATTTCCTCATATTTTACGTTTATCCGATTATCTATATCATGGGAGTCCCTGAGTTGCATAAAGGTCTAAGACTAGCTTATCGAGAAAGTTTGGCAATTGGGATGCACTCAAGAGCCAGAAGCAACGGTCTGCACGTGGTCCATGAATCCAAATAAACTTCGAAGGCAAACGACAACAGCCTTTTAAGAAGATTTGTTTCGGAGCTTTCGTTTCCACAAAGAAATTCGGAAACCCATTATATTTATATTACAAGATCATGACAAACTCTGGACCAGGTAATTGTAACACACACACATACTGAAAGTAGAATAGAATATACAGGAACGCTCCAGACCAACATACCAGGGCAGAGACTAATTTTAAGCAAAAGCAAGAGAAAGTGGAAGACACTGATAATAAATGGGCTGCATGGAAGCCTTCAGAAAAGTCCCAGAGATGGACACAATCAACCCTGCTCACGGTCAAAGAGCAGCGAGGACGCATCCCACGGGTCCTTACATGGCCCAAACGAACTTCCTTGTTCCTTGTTCCCTCGCCCTTCTTGTTCCAGCGCTTAGGAATAGCAGTGGGACTGGTGGGGTCGCAGCTACCCACCAAGTTGTTTTCTTTCTC